CCCCTTGTAGTTAACATATTTTAGGTCAACTATATGTTGTATACCCGATAAAATTTAGATCGGTAGATCTTTACCGTTCATCCACACGTGTCAGTAGAGATGGTGTATGTTTTTATTTGCAGACAATAAAAACAAAAATTAAATATTTCTTCGGTGTAGCATGAAATAAGCATGTGGACCATATATATTAGTTCCGATAATATAATGCATGCTATTATTAGAACTCAGACGAATGTAAGGCTATGTTTGATTAGATTAAGTACTGAATGCTGAATGCTGAAAACATATCTGAACAGCTAAGAGCACAGTCTGAATCTAAATGCAGAATAGTTAAGTTTGTTTGATAATTATATATCTGAATGATACACTATTACTAAATTAACCCTATACATAGATTTATTTACTACGTGAACTATTAGTAATATCAAACTATTTTTTTATGTAATAGAAAAATCATATCAAAATCCAAAAAATATGGATTTGGAAAAAAAGAGAGAAATTTTTTCCTCCATTATTGAATAATTTAATGAAAATTAATATTTATCTCATCCCATCATCTCATTGACTCGATTCGTACATATCCCTGAACAAGAATACAAATTGCTACGCTACTACTGCAAAAATATGTACAAACCAATGTAAACAACCAACATCGCCGCCTCAAGTTCTGTGAATCTATGTCCTTGACGTGCTGCTAAAAACATCGTCATATTCTTAAATCTTGCAGCCCCTCAGTCCTCCCTCAAGACCCCGTCAGATTTTTAATTCCCGACCATCTCCAACGGAATCCCCAAATTGATTCGTCTGTGTCGATAATAAACGAAAATCAATTACTTAAACATGAGATTTTTGTTCCAATTGCATAAGCCCTATTTGGTGATCAAGGTTAATTAATAGATATGAAGGTTGATTCCAGTAGGGGAGGTGGCTGTGGTGGTCAAGAAATTAATCGGTTAAATGAGTTTCAATTGACGAAGAGGACGAACAAAGTAGAGAAATTTGGTCACCAAACCCAAATATCCATTCAGAGATCCGCTGAGCGAATAAGCAAGAAATTTCTAACTGAACCGGTAAGAGGCAATGGGTTTCATTCAGATATCCACACCAAACATACTTAATGAGTAATCTCTTACCGATTCAGAAATTAGTGTCCATTAAGAGCTCATTAAGAGCAATCAAACAAGCTCTAAGTGTAATGATCATTTACTAGCCGCGCCAACTTAATTTAGGGTAACATGTAATTACAGAAAAATTCCTTTGTTTTGAGAAATTATATCCAACTCTTTAAAGTTTGTAAATTTCTTACATTTTCCTCTATAAAAGGGTGTGAGTATGTTAGAAATTTACAAACTGTATGGGTGAATTTAATTACAGAAAAAATTAAGGGATTTTTTTCGTAAATAGACGTTGCCTCAAGGACGAGGTTGTAATTTACCATTATATTTAGTATAACAACATGAATAAAGATGGCGCTTGCAATCTCAGACTTTATTGAAGTTTCTGGAAATTCTTATATATGTTGAAGAATGATTTGTTATTTTTATCCCCTTGGACTTATTGATTGGTCTACATCTAGAAATTTCAGCAGCAGCCTAGTACTATTAAATTTTTAATTGAATTGGTTTAGTTTAGTCGGCTGCCTCTATTATTATATGCCGAAATATTTTGTTGTTTTTTGTTTTTACTGTGGCCGATAACGACCGATAATTGGTAATCGAACTATTTCAACAATCGACCATTACCCGACTTACAATAGTCCAGATAGTCATAATTATATATAATCTTAATTATGTGATTTTATGATGATGTATTTGTGTTTGTTTTTTTTGCAAAATGTTGTCTATTACTATTATCTATGATTTGTGAGCGACATTTGAAACAAAACGTTACTATACCATTGTTTATCCCTTTAAATTTGGAACAACTGAGGCCCATATAATAAATAAGTGTAGCGTAGAAAGCCCATAAACTATTAATATTATTTAAAAAAAACGTTTAGAATTAATATAATTAGAATTCATTAGAAGCGCTTTTGTGGAGATTTTTTGATGAATATTTTTTGTAGAATTATGTTGTGGTTAATTTTGTTTTACATTATTAACGCAATTTAGTAGAGCATGCAACATAATTTGCAAAAAAAACCACAGGTGATTTTGAAAATTTATAAAATTATATTCAAAAATTGAAATATAAAATTTGATTAATCACACTATTCATATCACAAAGAAGAATTTAATTTATTGCTCCTTGTTATTCAATAATAATAATAATAATAATAATAATAATAATAATAATAATAATAATAATAATAATAATAATAATAATAATAATAATAATGAAGGTGCAATAATGCATAGAGGGAAGTAAGAAAATGAAATAGAGCGGATACCAAGAATAGTAAGAGATCGAGCAGAAGCAGCATGGGAAGAAGAGAAAGAGATAACGCTATTTTTTATTATTAGCAACCGAGACAGAGTAAAAGACAAACTACGTACACTCTTTTCTAACTGCGGCTCTGCCACCTTCTTTCTCTCTCTCTCTCTCTATATATATATATATATATATATATATATATATATATATATATATATATATATATATATATATATTTAGCAAGTACTATATATATATATATGCGTACTGCAAATAATATAATTATTCTTTGTTTTGCCGCCCTCTTTCTGAAATTCTTGGTTGCCATTTGCCTTGCTGCCCCTTGTTTTCAGCTGCACATTCCAGAATATATTAATTAATTAGTGTCTTTTTTCTCTCTCTAAATTAAACATAAATAAGCTTTCTTGAAGAAAAAAAGGGGCCGGGGTTATATATATACACGTATTTAAAGTTACTATATAGTATATATCTTTGATCGATCAGCTGAGAATTAATTAGTAATTTATTATATATATCAATGGAGATGAGAGTTTTGGGAGGGGCAGTGGGGAAGGTGAGCAGGCAAATATATGCTATTTTTTGTTTAGGAGTTGTTCTCCTATCACTCGTCATAGCCCACCACTACTACCCGCCGTGTGCCGCCGCCGCCGCTGATGATGATATTGGAAAACTATCGGGTAGCCACCGTGAACCCGCGAAGCAACGCCGCCGGCGATCGTCCTTCCATGCCACTCCCGTTCTCCGCGGCCGCCCTGTCTTTAGTTAAGAGGGTTCATATATGTTTTTGTTCTAGATTTAGTTTCTACTTGTAGCACCTACCTAATTAATGAATTTTGCTTTTCCATATTTTCTGTACGTTTAATCAATTTTGATTGTATGAAAATAAACTTTACATATTATTATTTTTTTTATTTTTTTTTTTTTGGTGAGGCACACGTACGTATTCTTTTTTTATTGGGTCTATTAGATATAACCCCTTAAACATTCAAATAAGAGTAAAAAGCAGTTTGCCCCCTAAACAAATAGCCGTTTTGCACTTTGCCCCCCAAACAAAAAAAAATTGCACGTTCTTACCTAAACTTTGGTTTTTGTTGCACGGTGCCTCAAAATTGGAATTTTCCGGCCATTTTGACCGGAATCTTACGCACGTGCTTTTCACGGGAGTTTGAAAGGGGCAAAAGAGTCTATTCACTTACATTCTTCATAAATTAAAAAAAAAAAAAAAAAAAAAACAAAAAAATGAAGAAGAAGACGACGGAAAATCTGCAATTGGAGACAGAACATGTCAACACATTCGACGAGCTGGAGGAGGAAGTACTCTCCGCCGTCAGATCCAGATTCCACACCGTCTACACGATCGGCCCCCTCCAGCTTCTCGAGAAGGAGATTTACGGCGGCGGCGGCGACGCCATCGGATCGAATCTGTGGAAGGAAGACATGGAGTGTTTGGAGTGGCTGGATAAGAAGAAAAACGACGCCGTTCTGTACATCAAATTCGGCAGCATTACGCCGTTATCGGCGGGGCAAATGTTTGAGTTCGCGTGGGGTTTGGCGCAGAGCAACCACCAATTTCTGTGGATAATCTGACCCGATTTGGTTGACGGGAAGGGTTCGGTTCTGCCGGAGGGGTTTCTGGAGGAGACGAATGGGCGGGGCTTGCTTGTCGGGTGGTGCCGCCCGCAGGAGAAGGTTCTGGCACACGCGGCGGTGGGGGGTTTCTCACACACTGCGGGTGGAATTCGACGGTGGAGACTATATCGGAGGAGTTCGCGTCACGTACTGTTGACCGAATTAAATGAAGTCAAAATTACCGACTTCGGCTGCGCTAAGTTTGCCGACGAGGCGGCAATCGGCGGCACTCCAATGTATAAGCCGCCCATGGTGAGGAGCAGGGTTTTCCCGCGGATATTTGGGCTTTGGGATGCACAGTTATCGAGATGTCCACCGGAAAATCACCGTGGCCTAACGCCGCGGCCACGCTTCACCGGATTGCATTCTACGGCGAGGCTCCGGAGATTCCGGGTTTCATGTCCAGCGAGGCGAAGGATTTTTTGAGTAAGTTCTTGAGAGTTGATCCAAAACAGAGATGGACGGCGAAAGAGCAAATCAGAGATTCGAAGCTCCTTTTCTTGACGAAATTCGATTCGAACATTCAGAGAGAAGATCGAAGACGACACGTGTTCTCCGACGAGCATTCTTGATCACGTGGGTGTATGACAGCTTCTCGTTCGTTTATTTATTTATTCTCTTTCTCTTTCTCTTTCTTTATTAATATTTATTTGTATTTAATATTAAAGATGCACTTGAAAGGACGAATTTACCCCTCAAATCTCACGTGCAAAGCACATGTCTTAACAGTTCCGGTTAAACTTGCCGAAAAATTGAGTTTAGGGGGCACCGTGCAACGAATTAACGAGTTCAGGTAAAAACGTGCAACTTTTTTTTGTTTGGGGGGTAAAGTGCAAATCGACCCTTAGTTTAGGGGGCAAACTGCTTTTTACTCTTCAAATAGTAGGGGTAGATCCAAATTTATATCTGCCATTTTGATAACAACCCATACTTTTCCTAATTACATAATTACCCTCAATCAAATCCCACAAAACCCGTTACTTTACCTTTTGAAATAAAATCAAATCCCTTCCTATTTTCCCGTTAAATCACTATCATCCCAAACCCCACTATCGAATAAACGGCAAAACCTCCCATTACAACTTCTCCGGTGCGGTCGATTGAAAGGGGAAGACGTCT